CTTCTGGTCCTTTCTCATGCAGATGCTCGGTAACTCAATCTTCAGAACCGCTGTCCATATGAATTGGAGCCAGCCCTGTGGGGTCTTGCTGGGAAGGCACATAAATATTTTGTCCCTTCCCCCAGTGTCACAGTTGGCCCCAGTTTGGGACTGGAAGTTAAATTTTACAGCCTTGACTGACTGTATGAATTTGCAGCTCTCTCTTGCATTTCAGCTGAACAATTTAACTTGAAAATAGGTGGTTTGGAACTGCGTGGTGTTTATTAAGTAGTTTCCAAAAATGTATCATATGGTGAGGTGGTAGTTAAAGTGATTTTTCTTTTTTTTTGTGGTAATAGTTAAAATGATTTTTTTGTAGGGAGGCTTAGTGTGTATTGAATAGTTGCTTGTTATTTGAAACTGTCCGCATAGCAAAACCATGAAAAATGGAGGTAACTACTGTGCATATAAAGATTTATTATGCATCTATGTTACAGTATGCTTACTTTATCAAAAATAGACCATTATGAAAACTGGCTTATGCACCTGCTCTTCATTAATTTTTGAAGTTAAATAACTGCGTGGTCTTTTTTACAAAATACCAGCGGTCACTTGGGGATTATTTGTAGCAAATACTTGCTGAATGTAGAGTTTAGTGCTAATGGTAAAATAATCCTCTCTGAGAATTATAGTTTGACTGCTGTTAAGAAGGAAAAAAGCAACCTCAGACCTTAATCAGTAGAAAACTGCTGCATCACTTTGTACAACTTTTAGGGCAGAATGTGTCGTAAATAAAGTTGTAGTATGAGTGTATTCCTAGAAATTGGTAAAAAGAAATATGATGGTATTTCAGAATAACAGATGAGTACCTCAAAACTTGGAAAAATATTCGCTATATTTTGCCTTTTCTTTTTTTCTAATGTTTGTGCTTGGAAGCAATAACTCTGATTGAAACTTTCTTTCACATGTACTGTGTGAAATTACTCCATCACTGTTGGAGCTTTCCTGAATGCTGGAAACAGAAGAAAAATCCCAGCAACATAAAATCTAAAAATAGAGACTTCTCCCCAACTGTATTACAGTGATTTATGGGCAGAATTTTAATTCTCTTTTTAGGGGTACTAAAAGAAAATCTGGTTTAGAAAAAAGAAGTGGAGGTCATACGTTTTTCACTGACGTTAGAAGGAAGCAAATTGAACTAATTTCTGTTTTTAGAAGCAAATATTGATAATTCATTTTTCTGCAAATAGCAAATGACTTTGCAATTAACTTTCTGTGATTGGCCTTTGGTTATCAGCCAAGAAATGTGATTAGTCATAATTTACTAGTTCTTTAAAATGCCTCGTACAGATGTTAAAATCTGCAGGTGATCAAATAAGTGGGTATTGCTTAATGATACTCTGTTTTTATAGCACGCTGCTTTGCTATATATACGCTGGCATATACTTCTGTGGCTTCCCCACACTCAAAACTTCTTGACTGAAAACAAAGCACAAAAAACCCACCACCTCAGTTCTGTTGTGCGTGGAGAAGTGCTGTGGCAGGGAAGGGTCGTTGCTTTAGTGATCGCATACAGCACTTCAGCACTAATGATTTCTGACAGAGACAAGTCCTGCACATTGCAGGATGTGGAAAGGATTTTCATGTTGTTTTGAATGTGGAGAAAGAGGGTTGGCTTTAGGATTCAGGAATGCTATTATTAAAAACTTGCTAGCTTCTGAGTTTAACAACATTGAGTGGGGGGGGAAAAAAAAACAGCATTCTGAACTGTGAGGAAGAGGCTGATAAGGAAGAGTTAAAATTATTTCCTTTGTGATTTGATTTCGTTGAACTGTTTCGGAGCTTTCACCCAAGCGTGCTGTAGGATGTACTTTCTGAGGTATAGTGTGAACAAAACTAGAGTGAATTTCAGTGCATCTTAATGGGATTTGCTTTTTTTCTGCAGTTGGGTAACTTTTTAAAGTCAATGTAAGTAGATGAGGGGATATATTTGTTTCTAATGTGGTTGACACTTTTGCGTCTGTGGGAATCTTGGTACCAGTATTGCTTACACTTTTGGCAGTAAAATACCTTGCTGGTTGGTGGTGTCTGTAACTTTGTAATTAATCCACGCTCTCCTCTTTGTTCTAAGTGTGACATTTTCTGATCTAAAATATCTTAAAGTTTTAGAAGTGAATAACGTTTATTTCAGAAATGTTTAAAGCTTGTTTATGGTGGGAAATATAAATCTGCTCTCAGTGTGCATAGCATTACCAGACTTCTGTGGTTTAAGCTAATATATTCTGCTGGTTATCTGCCTCATTTGGAATTGTTTTGCTTGGAACTGTCCCAAGACTTCCATTCTGAGACTGAAGTGCTTTCATTCTAAGGGTGAAACGGTAGAAAATACTGTTTTGTCCAAGAAATTGTAGTTCATGTGTTTTATGGTTGCTCCATTTTTTTCCAAAAAATAAAATATTTGCCTAAATATATGTTGAGACCTGTGTGAAATTCAGCAGCAATTTCCATTCAGATGTGATTTAGGGCTGCTTTGGGATGAGGTGCATCCGATCATAATAATGAGGGTGCAGGATGTCAGAAGAGGGAAAGCTGCTGGGAGGAGGTGTTTATTTAAAATACAGATACAGAATCTCTTTTTTCCCAGTGTGCTCTCATTTTCTTCTCCTTCCCAAGCATGAAAAAGAGAGTAAATGGCCTGCACTAAGTGCACAGGCAGGAGAGTCTGGGGCTGCGTTGGCTCTTGATGGGCTATCACAAGACAGGAAAACCTGCTGGTGGTACAGAGCTGGAAAGCTGGATCCCAGCTGGGATTGGGACCCAGTGATAGTGGTGAGGATGGCAGAATGTGTCTGAAGATCGAGTAGGATTAGGAGAAAACTAATTGGAAATATTGTTTAAAGACTTGAGAGTTTTAAAGTAAAGCACTCAGAAAATAGGAGAAAAGCAGGTTACCTGCCTGAATTTTCTTCCCTCCCCAGGTGATAAACACTCATGGGACTGTGTGCTGTAAATAAGAAGCAAGATAAAAACCACACAGTGTTGTGAAAACTGCACTGGTGAACTGGTTTCTCCCCTGCCTCTGTTGGAGCTGCTGTATGCATTATGCAGCAACTAACAACTAACTGCCAGTTGTTTGCTGGTGGCTTCCCTTGGGCTGTGTGGTTTGTGGAAACGCTGTGTATTCCCAGTGACTGAAAGAGCTGTGCTTTAATGTGCTTTTATCCCCAAGGCTTTCAAGATGAGGGACTGTCTTTAACCCTAGTTTGAAAGGACCTTTGGTAGCTCCTGTGCACAGTGATGATACAGGTGCATTTGGGAGCAGGGGGGCAGCATCCTTAAGGTTCGGCGGGCAGCCAGTGCTGTTCTCTTCAACTGGAGGGAGGGTTCAACTGGAGTTGAACGGGCTGGTTCAGCTAAACCTGAATGGGTTTTGATGGTACAAATAAATGTCTCCATCCCAAATATTTCCCTCTTCCTCCAAGTGCTACTGCTTGCAGACAGCCTTTGAAATTTAAAGGTCTTGGTGTTTTCTGTGGGTAACTACCATTAAGTAGTATGTACGTGACAAAGACTGTCATGCTTGAGTGTAAAATGATGTCTTTTCACTAAATGAAATACCCACAGGAGACTGGCTGACTAGGAGCACTGGCAGCAGGATATAGAACCTTTAATCTCTGAGTGATAAAGTATTTACAGCTGATGGCTGTATAATGACATAAAATATGTAGTCTTGCTTCCAAATGAGGTCTTAGTGTTTCAGATATCCCCACTTAGATGTTTTCAAGAAGGCCACAGATTTAATATTGGTTTGATGCTCGATGATACTCTCATATATATCTGTGGTCCTTGTAAATCCCAGCTGTAGCTTACTTGCAGAGTGGTGAGAAGCAGCTTTGCTTTGTGCTGCTTTGGTGAACAGACTTCAGTAGCCAGGGCAAATACTTGGTTTTGCTGTGCAAGAAATTTTTGAACCAAAATGCTAATATTTTTGCTGTACAAATAGAATAGGGTGAGACTACATATTTGGTTATGGCAGCCTGTTGGATAAATAATAAACCTTTGCTGATGACTGTAATTCAGTTTAGCAGGGAGTGTGTGCTCTGAGATCTGTTCTGAAAGGCTTATCTTCAGCAATGGCAAGTTTTAAGGTTTTAGATGAACACCAGATGGAGATAGAGCAGATGCCACCACTAATTTCAAAATTGTATTAAGTGGAAAACAAGAACGTGCTTAGATATTATGTTCATTGCTTATTTGATTTACTCATACATAATAAGGAAGTGTTTGTGAATATAATGGTTTATGTGAGGCATAGCTTTTCTGTTATCGGAGGCTGTCAATGTCCTTTGTCAACTTTTGAAGTAAAAGAAAAAATGGTAATAGTGTAATAGTGTTACTGACTTGAGTGTTCTTTCTGCAGAGTTCTCCTTTTAGATTAAGGTTCTGCTTTCTGCTCTACATAGATTCACTTGACATTTAAAAGAAATAACTTAATGATGGAAAGATAATTTTTCAGCCTTTCTTATAATGCTTCAGATGCATTATATGTAGACGTTTTTTTTTTTTTTTAAAGATTTCTTTAATTTTCAAATGCCACAATTCCCCTCCCCCACTATAAGTAAAGCTGCTTCACTTCTGTAGCTTACATTGTACCAAATTGATGGCACAGAATAGCATGGTTTAAGAAGATAAATGTCAGGAATGTCTCCTAAAGTAGACATTCAGGTTTTTTTGGATTAATGGAAAAGAAGGTCAATAATTGCATGGATTTCAATAAGCTTGAGAATAAGTGGCGTTTCTGTGGTGCTAGTGATTATTAAAACATTGTGAATTCATTTCAAAATACTGTACCGAGGTCTAATATCTCTTCTATTGTGAAGGGATGACTCAGTAAGGGCTGCCAATTTGAAGAGATGATAGTAGGTAACTCCATAAATCAATTAGATTTTAAGAGGAGAAAAAGTTATAGCAGGCAAAAGATAATTCTCTGAATGGTAGTCTATTTTTGTCTCATTTAATAGGTCCCTCCAGACTTCCAGCAGCATGCACCTGGACCTGTTCCTACCAACTTCTCCCAGGCCCCACGGCTGCCAATGCAGGATCAGTGGAGAGGCCCACCTCCCCCACCGCCACCTCTCCCTCCTCCACCTCCTCAGGACAGAGACCCTTTTTTCCTAGGAGGTAAACCTTTTCATTTCAATTAATATACAAAATATACTTCTTGTGAAGTAAACATGCAGTTTGAGGAAGAACCTGAAGACTGTATTTGATGTAGCCTGCCTAGTACATGCCAAAAATTCCAATGACCTGGTCTCTTTTCTCCTCCTTTGATGTTGTTTTCTGTTGACCATTGATTTATGTATTTCTCCAACTATAAGATAAAATTAGTATCAAAGTAATTGCTGCAAATTATTGTGATTTGTTATATTTTAAACACCATACTCTCTGGAGTATGTGTACACTATAGAAATCTGTTAGTATTAGCTGGAATGTTAGAGCATAACCAGCAAAATAGTAGTTTGTGTGTATGTAGACTTATGTTTAACATCTGTATGTAATATCTATATATTATGTACAGACCTATTTTAAATTAACACCTGTATGTAATATATATAACGTATATGTTATATACATTTTTCCTGTACTCAGAAGGATGTAAAAAGTTGCTGAATATCTGATCAGCAGAAGTTCTGCAAGTTCTTATGTGCTTTTAAGCACTAATCACTGTAATCCATTTCTAAAAGACATTCTTAATTCCTCTTGTCTTCAGTTGTACTGGTGCTTTGAGCATCAGTTCCTCTTAAAAACAAATGGCTGAAGCCAGAGAAACATGACCTTGAAATTAGGCCTTAAAATTATGAAGTCTCACGTTTTTGCTTTTTTACCAATTTCAGGTTACTTTTCAAAACGAAATGTTTGCAGTTCAGAAGCATGCTTGTTTCCCAAGGGTGGTTTGTCATTTAATTTCTTTCCTGATTCCCACAGATCCAAGATTTCCCAGCCATCACTTGTTTGAGCAGCGGAGTCCCCCACCGCCACCGCCTCCCCCGCTTCTTAACAGTCCGCACCCCGTCCCTACCCAGAGCCCGATGCCATTCAGCCAGCCCGGGCCAGCATTCAGCCAGCAAGGACAGCAGCCTGTATTTCCCAGAGAGAGGCCACTAAGGCCAAACATACAGCCTCAAGGTCCAGTGGGAATTCTCCACTTCAACCAGCCAGGTTCAGCAAATCCACGGCCCTTCATTCCTCCAAGACAGCAGTTCCTACAAGCCCCGGGACAGCCCTTCCTTGCTGCACATGCACAGCCTAACATGCAGGTACAGGTTTGCAGTATGGAGGGGTCCTAAAAGAGGTGTTTCAGGTGGCCTAGTTCTGTGTTGTACTCTTGTTGATGTATAGGAGTAATGCAGCTAAAACTGAGTTATTTGAGGTAACAGATAGGAGGCAGATTTACATATTTACATACTTTGTCTGAAAAAGTGATTTACCTTTTTTCTTCAGTTGCCAGCACTCTTGTTTCTGATAGCGGTCTACACACCAGCCCTGTTTCTCCAGTAAAGTTACAAAAAACACCACGATTTGCTTAACACTACTGGAAGCAGAGAAGTTGTAATGTTGTTTGGTTCAGCATCGTATAGCTCCTGATATTCCTTTAGCTCCGCAGAGGTAGGGAGGGCTGTCCCTGTGCCAGTCCCGGAGCGCCCTCTGCTGCTCAGCCCTGTTGCTCAGCAGAGAGCTAAGCCTCCTGCCTGAGAGGGAGCTGAGCTGCTTGCTTGTTATTTTGGGGTTTTGCAGAGTGATGCACATGGCTATGTTTATTTGGAGGGTTTTCTTCGTGTTTTGATGTAGGGAAATATTGAGGTCTGGTGATGTTTGTTTGGAGAAGGAACAGTTTGGGGAATTAAAGAAGAAGGAAGGGGAGAGCAGAAAGCTTTTCATTTGCCTTTTTCCACTTAAGCTATTGACTGTGTAAATATGGAACTTCTTTACACAGCTTCTGTTAATCCATCTTTTCCTCTCAGTATATTTTTGATTTAGCTTGGTCCATAGCTGCTCACAAGTTTGTTGTTTTGTGGACTTGGGAGGCTGGAGCTGCTTTTTTGAGAGGTTATTACTTTGAAACTAAAAGCAAATAATCTTTTTCTTCATATGAAGGGTCCCTTGCATCCTCCATTGCAGCCTCAGCCACAGCCTCAGCCTCAGCAGCACCATCACCAGCAGCAGCATCATCACCAGCAACAGCAGCAGCAACACCATCATCATCTCCAAGGGCCACCACAGCCCTTGATGCCCATGAACCAACCACAGTTCAGGCCTCACATACAGGCCTCACCGCAGCAGCCAAATAACAGCAGAATGCAGTGTCAGCAGCGGCAGGGTCCGATGAAGCCAAGGCATGTAAGTACCACTTAGTGTTATCTTACATAGTTCTGCATGGGCAATGAAACTTACCATGTAGTTTTTAATTCTCATTTATTCCTTTTCTGCTCTGCCCCTTTCTTTTCCTTTTTGTTTTTTTTTTCTCCCTTCTCTACCTTGGTCATTTTATAACCTACTTTCACAAATAGCATGTCTATCTTGTACCTTTTTTTATTTCAGTAGCCAGTGTTTTCTTGATTTGGCTCCATTAAGAGATTATAAAGATTTTCCAAGAACTGTCAGTAAAGGATTTTGGAGGACAAGTTTGCGTTATATTTAAAACTGCACATAGTCTGTGACTGTGTGGGAGCCCAGTTCTCTGACACTTGCTTTGGTTTGAAGACCTTTCAGGAGCACTGCAAAGAAGTGTTCTGGTTCACATGGTGCCTGTAATGTCCTGTGAGTTTGCAGCATGTTCTGTTGCTAGGTAGGTTGGGGTGACACAGCAATCTGTAGCAGCGCTCAAATTATTGTGACTGTAGTTGAGAAGAATGATTTTAATTAAGAAAATAAATCATAGTGAAGCCGATTTCTGAGAAAGATGTTAAATAAGTTATTGAGTGTTGCTGTTAATTAAAAAAAAAAAGTTAATGTGCTTATTTTCATACTTTCTTCTTACATTAAAAACACAGTGCCATTTTGAAAAGTTTTTTTGTTTGTTTTTGACAAACAACGAAGTTGTGAAAATCTGAAACAGGAAACACTTCAGTCTGACTTTACATAGAAACCTCACATTTTTTTCCTTTCTGCTTTTCAGAGCACACCCTCACAAAATATTGTCAAGCGTCCAAATCAGCAACTACAGCCAACTGCTCCAAGAAACAGTAACTTGCGGGAGCTGCCCATAGCACCGTCACACGCTCTGGAAGTGAGCAACAACAGGCGAACCTCTACTCCAGCTGCTCAGGTCAAACCCATTACCAGCACGATGTCTGCCTCCAAGACTGTAGCTAGTGGTGGAAACTCGCAGGGAAGGCCTGAGATGAAAGCTAAGGCAGTCACACCAGTGGGCCAAGTGAAACCAGAAGTAAAATCAGAACCAGAGGTAAGATAAGACTCTTGAAACTTCTCTAGTCTGACTTGTGAGCTGTAAGCACACCTGATGTAGTACTCATCCAGCATTTTTTTGTTGCCACTAGAGGCCTCTCTTCTGAGTTGCACTTTCTTTATTGCAATAGCAGAAACAGTTTCAGTTGACAAAAAAAAACCCAAACATGTGAGAGGTTGGCTGGGCACTCTTCAAGAATGAGAGAATGAGTAGCTTTGCATTAATAGTGCTCTTAATACTGAATGTCAGCAAGTGCCAAAGGAACATGACAGCATGCAGCGTGTATGATTTCTGAGTTTCAGGTTATTTTGGACAAAATTGTGAATCATTCTAGTTTGGTTGCTCATGAAACTTGTCTCGGGGACCAAGTTTCCTTCATCAACTTCATCAACTGTTGAAAGCTTTAATTGGGATAATACTTTCTTCCCTTTAAGCTGCTGCTGATTATTTTCATATCTTGTTCTTGAATTAGTTACAACCATTCCTAATTTTCACAAATGTGGCACATAAGAAACCCATAGCTGGCAGTGTTTGACCTTGTATGCAGGAGCTTCTCAACTGGAGTAAAAAATCCTTTGTCCAGTTTTTAATTTTGATAGTTTCTGACAAATTTGCTGAAGTAATTTCCTTTACCTCGATTCAGTTTCCCGGAACAATCAAAGTCACAGAAAATGCTTTGCCTCTTAGGAAAGTCTCTGTCTTTCAGGCTGTTAGTAAAGGAGCATATTGAAGGCCTCTGCAAAGGACATTCTCACCATCTAAAGCATCTTAGAGTCCCTCAGTATTTCTGTCATGGAGCACTTTGGGCATTAGATTGGAAATATCTCTGACAATATCTGGAAAGCTATCTTTGAAAGCAGTTTGCAATACCTGTTTCGTATAAGTTATACTTTCCCTTCCAAAACAGAAGGAAAGAAGTGTTGCACTTGAGAAAAGGGTGCATCTCCTGTAGTGTTTAGTACTGTTAATCATACAGGTAAAGCCTCTGTAGGTACACTCAGAAAAAATGCATAGAGGTTTTCAGAGTGGACCAAGAGAGAACGCCTGTGCTGCAAACAATGTAGTAGCAGTTGTCCTTCAACTGTGCCACTGCAGTAGTATTTATTGGTGCCATTTATTCTCGTTTTCACAGACTGAGGATTGCTGCACTAGTAACTTTCATTTTCAAGCACATAATCGTGTCTCTTTTTGTTGCATTGTAGTTTATTAAATTTCTCATTTAGCCAGATTGCAGTGTTTTCCAGCATTTTGTTTTCTAATTACCTAACTTTTTGTTGATTTTTGGCTTTCCACTGGGATGAGAAAGTTATGTCATCTCTTCTAGCTGTCTTGCTCATAACTGAATTGGGCAGGTTATTTTGCAAGTGTCTTCAACTGGAAAATTAAGACTTTTTTTCCATCTCTGTCCCTGAAGAGCCAGTGGACTTGTTTATGAATGCCCTGTAATTCAGGGAGCACGAAAATGGCAATATTGTGTTAAGTGTTTTCCTCATCTACAAAACAAAGGTTTTGCAACCGAAGTGACTAGAAGACTAAAAACTATTCTAGATTTCTGAATAGCATACTTGTGTTCTTGTTCCTATGCGACTGGAAAATACCGGCTTCAATGCCTTTGCTACTTTCCAAGATGTGAACTTGCATGTCTTCAGTCTGAAAAATCATTTTTACAGTGAAATTGAGAGGTATATAATGGCTGTGAGTCTAATTCTGCTCATGCCGAGGTCAGTTTAGGATGAGAGGAATTAAGGTATTTAAGTGCTTTTGTGTTGAATAGAAGGACAAAGAAAACGCAGGAAGGTGACATAAAGCTTTCTAGTAGAAACTAGATATTGGAGGTCAAAGCAGGAGAAAAAACTAGTAGAGCACAATCAGAAGTGTGCTGATATCACAGCTGGTATTGCAGATGCTGTGGACAGCCTTTCCATTCTACAGCAAACTTTAAAGTGGGTGTTTATTTGTTGGGTCTTATATTGGTAGCTGTTTTTTTGTTTTGTTTTTTATAAACTCTGAGTATGGAAAATAGTTGCTGTATTGAATTATCAAGCAGATGTGTCTAAATTATCTTTTCTGTATTAACCTCCTGAAAAATTGTGCATGTATAAATTTGATCTTTTGCTCTAATTTGAGTAGATTTGGCTTCCAGATTTTAATAATGGTGCTTTCTGTCTTGTTCTTTGAAGATTGTTCTCGTCAGTCTTTTTCCAGTTAGAAGATCATAGTATGATACTCAGACTAACTTGTAGCAGCTCATACCTTCTTAGGGTTTAGGAGCTAATGTCATCAGTAGTGTAAAATGTGTGCTGTGTATTTAGCTACCTTTATTTAAGATACTTTATGATTTTGAATGGCAGCCAACAGATGCTGTAATTTGGATTTGCCTTTACCTTTTGTGAAGACTTGTAGTAAATTACTGGACAAATGATATTTCTAATGGTACAACTGAAAAAAAAAATTCCTATGAAAAACAAACCTGCAGAATACACAGATCTGTGTATATCCTGCCATTTGGTTGTAGCTATTTTGCTAGGGAGACAGGTGAGCTTGGTAGCATGTTTCATTTCTTGTTTTTGATTGCAAACCAGGGCACTTGCAGTATTCAGCTCTTATGGTTCTGCATTTAATTCTAATTACTAGTAATAAAGCCTGCAGACCTCTTAAAATTAATTTTTAAAAAGTGGGATATTTGAATTCACTGTATAAGAAACAAGTCACTGATATTAGGACTTAAGGTGCAGTAGGGAGTGTAATCGTGTTTCAGAGTTTGTCTTTTCTGTATTTTGCTCAGCAGTGCCAGTCTGAGCCTTCCTGGAGAATTCAGGACTGCTGCTTCTCTTACTGCTGTTGCTGAGCTAGACTCACAAAGGCAGCCTGTAACATTTTCTTTTGGCACTTTCCATTAAAACCTCTGAACATTTAAGGCAGAAGAAGAACCTTGTAGCTAAGGTTTGGTCTTCCCTCCGAACCACGAATGTATTGTGTTCAAGAACACAATCTCTACTTTACAAAAACAGGATGCTAAAGGAACTGCTTTGTTTCTCTCACTTTGTGCTCTTCTATTCTTTTCTTACTTTGTACATAAAAGGAGAAGCCAGAGAAAATACTTCTTCATGTGGAGTTTTCTACAGAAAAATGGTGAAGCATCTATGGAGTTTATCTGGGAAAAAGCTACTCTGAGTTTTTTTTCACCTACAGATAACCTTGCTCTTGGCAGCAAACTTCCAAATGCAACACAAGCTGTGAACTTCACAACATCTTTGAAAGATTTCTATTTCTTTTGTCAGAATGGTTTGTTTCTTTGGGCGGTGCTACTGCTTAAGGAGGAATGTGCTGGGGTGAAAATCATTAGCAGCAGCCATGACAAACCATTTCCTTCTTGATCCAATGCGCTGCCTTGCTAGTTCAATCTAGTGAAGCTCCTTAAAATGTAGGAGAAGAGATGCTATTAAAGCTGAGGGTGCAGAGTGTTCAACTATCTCCATTTTCATCCTGGTGAGAAGTTTGCTATCATTTCTGAATCTGTGCTGTTGGTTCATTCCAGAGCTGGTTGCAGTTAGACCTGACTCCTAAGGCAAATATTTTGTTAATGATCTCAGTTCTTTATGTTGTTTGGTCTTCCCTATCCTAGCTGCAAGGATATTTTACTAAGAACCTAACTGTTCTAGCTACTTGCTTATGGAGATGAAGAATTTAGGCCTACTTATAACTATTAATGAGCTGACCTTACAGTTGTCATATAACCTCAGAGTTCTTGGCCTTTCATTTCAAAACTTGCCCTTTAAGAAGAGGTTGACTTCATGGCATCCTTATAAATTCAATAAGTAGGAGTTGAGTTTGTGAAAGAAAAATTTCAGGTTATAGTTGAGATCAAGTAGCCTGAAGATCTTGCAAAGCATTCATCAAACTTAACATGTGTTGCTAATACAGTTTGCCAGTTGTCCTCTGTATTTAATGTTAGTGTAGCTGAACCCAGTTCATCTGCCCAAGGGGTTCTGTGTGGACATATTAATCAGAGTATTTGGTCCTTGCCTGCCAGCAAGGCTTATTTAACTGTGCCATGAAGTACACATCTCTGTGCTGCTTACTTGTAGTCTTTGACTTGGTGTTTTTTACTTTCCAGATCAGAATCTGTATCTTCCAAGGCCTTCAGAACTTGTTAGATGGGGCCATAGAGTTCCCTGATAATAAGTGCTGTCCTTTATATATAGAAGGGTCTGGTCTTATGCAAACTTCTGCTAGCACTGACACCTTCACCTATCTATAAAGAAAAAAAATGCAAGGCTACCTCCAATGGTAAATTTGGTACTGGCTCCTGGGGTTGATCAGACCTATTTAGGTAAAATGCAGAATACTTTGATCTAGAGCAAAGGAAGTGAGTAACAACATATTAAGTGGAACAGGTTTTCTGTGTGGACAGTTTCAGTAACGTCTTGAGCCTGCCTGAAAGCTTAATTTGTAGCATCTACATCACAGCTCATCATCCTCCTCTCAATTTTCTCATCCCATGAAGGCTATATTTAAGAGTTTGCATTGTTTCTCAGGAGTTCTTTATTTTTTACAGCAATCTGGCATCTCCAGCTCTTGACTTTTTGATCATTTCAGTTTTTTGAAGTATGTTCCTATTTGTTGCCATCTATCAGCAAAGTTGTTGTAGTGATGGGTCACTACGACACCAGAGTCACAGTCTGAAAAGTACAGAGAAAGATGAGAACCTTTTGTTCTATGAAGCGTTGTCCTAAAAAATTTCAGGCTTGCTCTTGGAACTATGGCTCACTGTTTAAAAAGAAAAATAAAATTGAGTTTTGTGTCTTTTTTTAGCCATTGTTTGGACTAGACTTTTGGTCTGAGACATGCTGCTCTTTCTCAGTCACTGTGGGAAAAATCCATGTCAGTAGATGCTCAGGAAAGAAGCAGTTCTTTCTGCAGGAGTCAAATGTTTAGGATTTGTGTATCTGGGTTCTGTGAACACAAACTCTGCTCGGCTTTTATATTTGTGAACTGTCATTGTGGTTGGATTTGTTCTATTGCTTTTCCCTTACATTGAGGGGGGATTCTGGGATGTACCATAATAAAAGCCACGTGGAACAACAAAATCTCTAATTTCTCACTTTAGTTGTGTATGGGCTTTAAAAAAAAAAAAAAAAAAAAGCTTTTATGTGACATGATATTGCACCCTCACTAGTGCAAGGTGGATAACTTTTCACAGATTCAGCCTTTCAGAAATGTTCTAATACTGTTTATGCAGTAGCTTACCGAAATGAGAAGTATTGTTTCCCTGAGAGCCTGTATATCAGTAGGATTTACCAGTAGGATTTTGTGCTCATTAACATTCTTAAGCAGCCTCTACAAGTCTCTAACCTAATAGTACAAACTGTTGAAAATAAAAAATGTGTATTTAAAAAGCGTGCTTTTTAATTGTAGAGGAAAGCATGTGATAGTATTGTAAGAGCATCTTAATTTCCAGGGTGATGAGGATTTGCATTTCCTTGACTCTTGCCCATTTCTTACAGCATTTCTTAAGAATCCGTTTTGCCAAAGTTGAGGCATCTTTAGAAAGCTTACTTGATAGCGTATAAGACTTTAGAAGGGTGTAGGGGTGGAATATTAAAGGCATTCTCTAAATACCATTAATATTCCAGCACTGCATTTGGCAACATTTTGATTCTGAAGAGAGTGCATGAGTTCAAGGTCAGAGAGATTGACTTGTGCTGTTCATTATAACCAATTATTGTGTGACAAATGAGTTTGAGATCAGGCTGAAAATTCTGTGAGAAAAATCAATAGTTCTAATCAGGGCCTTTCAGGTCATTTACCACCCTACCTTTTGTTACTTTGTCAGAAAAGAGCAAGATAAAACCTGTGTGACAGTGGGTTGCCTTCGTATTGTTACTTTCCATTTGAAACATATTTTGATATCTTGAATTATATTAATTTAGTTTAATTGCTTTTAGAAAGTTCTAAATGAATTCCAATTTGTAAGACTTAATATTTTACTATTCTGATAAGATTTCTTAACTGGTATTATAAGCTCCATGTATTTTATTTTATTTTTTCCTCTCTAGGAAGTATTATATCTAAGTCTTAAACCTGATTCAAGCTGTTTGTGTCTAATGAATAACAAATAAACCATACTGGCAGATATGCTCTACTAATAGCCTTAGCTCAATGTCAGGGATCATTTCAGAAGCTCTTCAGAGACTTAGGCCATTATGACATCTTCTGAAACAATATTCTCATTCTATTTTGACCAAGTAAGGCTTACGCTGAGAATTTTCTAAATTAATTTGCATTTCCCTTTGTAGTATCCAGATGAAGACGAAGAGACTAGATTGTATCGTTTGAAGATAGAAGAGCAGAAACGTCTAAGAGAAGAAATTCTGAAACAAAAGGAGTTGAGACGGCAGCAGCAGGCTGGTGCTAGAAAGAGAGAATTGCTAGAAAGGCTTGCACAGCAGCAACAGCAGCAACAGCAACCTTCTGTGCAGCAATCCTACATGCAACAGGACGATGACTCTTCTGAGTACCCTACCAACGGCAATCCTTACATACCCCACTCTGGCTTACAGACCAGGCAAAATGTGAAAAACAGACTTCTTGTTAAAAAGCAAGATATGGTAGTTCCCAATATTCAGCCCAAACACACAGACTACTCGCAGGTTGGGGCTAATACGCAGTATCAAGGACAGCAGATGAAACCAGTGAAACAGCTGAGGCAGACCAGAACAGTATCTTCCAGTCAGCCTCAGGCATCGCAGAAAGTGTTACAGACAAAACCTGCTGCAGCACCGCTGCCCACCTCACAGACTGCTAGAGTGGCTTCCGTACAAGCAAGGCCACAGGAGATGAAACCTGGCGTGAAAAGAACTGTCATGCAGCGGACAAACAGTGGTAGTGGAGATGTGCCCCATGGCGGCAGCAAAGTCAGGGTGATTAAGTTGTCAGGAGGGGTAAGTTTCCAAGGCTCATCTTGTGTGTGTGTGCTGTCATGGTTTGTTTCTGTGTGTTTCATTCCGTGTAAGTTCAAAATAAAAAATAGGCCTAAGACGAAGGGGGAAGTAGGAGATTTATCAGACTTAATAATCCATAATTTAGATTTTCACAGTTGTAAGTTACTAGCAGTTACTCAGGAGTGTATGTTTGCCATAATGCTTTACTGTCAGACAGTTATCGCTGATACCATCTTTTTGAAAATAATACTCCATTCTTTTAACTTCTTTGTAACTTGAGTCTGCAAGACTCCTCAGCTTAGCTCATGTAGCTTAAGGTTGGTAGGTCTGGTAGGCTCAGAGAAAAGGACTTATATGGCTGTTTGTAAGGTTCAGTTAAACGGCTAGGCTTTGTTCATTCATTAGTTGAAGCCACATAATGTAGTTGGGTGCAAACACTGGAAATAGCGTGACTTCTGTACTCAAGGGGAGATTGTTTTTGTTTTCTAGGGAAGCATGTTGTGAAGCAAATTCAAGCAGTATATTGGAGGGGGATGTTTCCTGCTAGAGGCTGGGTTCAAAACATTACTGTTTCACTTCTGCATCTAAATTAGATTTCCTTATCTTTTGATGAGGGGTCTGTTGTCTGCAGAATGTCCCTTGAGCACCAGTGTTGTGGATGACTCTCAATACCAGCCTTGAAGGCAGCATGCATACTGAAGGTCTGGGGGTTGGTTAGAAAGTTTATGGACCAGATTTTCTTCTATCTTAATGAAGAGATGAGTTAATTTGTTAGGGCTCTGGAGAAACTGAGATGAAGGGACATGTTTGCCAGTGTGCAATCTCTGTCTAGTTTTTATGTTGAGGAGGACATGATATTTTTAATGCTGTGATACAGTGGAGGAGATTGGGCAGTTTTTTTTTGTATTTTTGGGGTGTTCTTGTGTTGTTCTTTTTTATGGTGGTGTGGTTGTTTTTTTTTTTTTTTTAAGAAGAATGCTTCTTAAATTATGAAGAATGTTAATTAGAGGAACTTACAGATCTGCTGTAATGAAGTGAATGTCCTGTGTTAACAGGGGCTTCATGAAGCCTTGGAGGCTAGGCTTTAGTGCATAGTAACATGGAGAAAATCAAACACTAAAACCTTAGCTACTTGTATATAGCTCATAAGTCGAAATACGCTTAATACTTTCCATTGCATAATAATATGTTTTTTCAAAATATTAACACAAAGGACGTTGTTGACTAACTAGAGCTGACAACAACCTGACTTAAAGGGTGTCTGATTCCTCAGACATGGTAACTTAAACACAGAAGAAAGTACCAGAGGTTGAAAGAAATTGTTTCTATTGGGCTAAAAAATAATTATATAGAGATATATCTGCAGGAATCCCAGTGGTTTACAAGAGGTATGACAGGTTTGTTATTCATTAATAATTGAATAAAGCAATCATGCACAACATCTTTTATTATGTGATGGAACAAAACAATGCCAGTCACCACTGCATGCAGCTCTTCATAACAAAAGGTTGTCAGTGCCCAAACTTTCATTTGTAATGAAATAATTTTTATCGTAATGCTCTGTTTTAGGAAACTTAGTGATTTGTTTCATATAAATCTCTTGGTAAGCAAAAGCAATTAGCTTCATTACATTCATATGTAGCTTCTCTTTCGTTATACACTCAGGCAGATTTGTTCTGTCCTTAACTTTCAGATGCTAAGGTTTTTCCAAGGTAAAGCAGTGTCTTTATGTATTCCTTTCTCTGTTTTTGTTTTTTTTTAAAAAATTTTATTTCATATAGTCATAGAAAATTTCATTTTTCCTTCCCACTGTGGAAGAATGAGAGCAGGCATTGCAATTAGCTGCTTAGCATTGATCAAGACGGTTGATTAATTTTTAATCATTTAGTGACAAGCTGAATCTATATGACTTTGTTTCTTTGACCACACAAGGAAAAAGAAAAAAAAGAGCAATGTGGGGGAGCAATCTTGTCTCTTTTGACAGGATTTTAAAGAATCAAATGCTGTGTGGACTCTTAGTATCATAAAGATCGCATCATATTTAGTTTTCCTTTTAGACCCACCACCTTTTAAATTTATTTTCACACCTTTTGTATGAACCCTAGATGTACAGCAGAAGCCAGATCTCTCTTGGTGCTTCATATGGTTCCTTACCTTTGGCCAAGGGAGTGTTTGGTGCCTCTAATGTACAGGCATTGACTTGACCCTGCAATTAAGCAGCCCTGCTGTTGCTCTCAACTGTAATCACTTGTACCCCTTTTGCTTTCTAGAGCTCTTTTGTGCAGTGGTGTTTTTAAGACCCATGTACGAGTGAGATATTTGTGATTAGACACAATGCAGGTTCCTTTCTGAAGCTCTTGATTCATGTCAGTAAAGACTTGGAAGGTGCCTTTTCTATCTGCCTGCCAGCTGTAGTGCAGCATGGTAGTAGAGCTGTCAGCTGAAGAGCTGGCTGTTTTGAGGCCAGCCCTATTACAAACTTATCTGGTCCAAATTAACCTAGAACAGGAGCAGGTGGCGAGGGCTATTCCCCTGCATTCAGCAGGACCACGTGTAGAACAGGGCCTAATGGTTGTGTGCTGCTGGTGACTTTTTTAATTTAACAGTTAAAGAGATGTGTTTAATGTATTGGTGAGATTTATGATGTACAAACGTCAGAAGAGAAAGGTTCATTTCTTTCATGATCTAAGCTTCTGACTGTATTTATCTGTATTGCTGGGCATTGCAGTAATATTGAGCATCTCTGACCTTTCAGATAAAGGTAATCCTTATTATTTAAGAAGGTAAAATAGCCTTTCATCTGTTTCTACAATGTTCTCTCTTGAGAGGATATTACTTCTTAAGTATTTTAACAGAATGGTAAGAATTACTAATTAAATTCCAAGAAATAATTTGTTCAGCTTATCTGATGTAGAAGCAGCCTTCATTTATGTCTTACTATACTAGAGAAAAGAGAAGTAGAAAATATTCAGTATTTTCTGTATACCAGAGCAAGTTTGCATATCAAGATGACTCATGTTAGATGTTGTGCTTTTTTTATTTTTTTTTTTTAACAAATTGTCCTTTCCCCCAGAAAAAAATACTGGTATGTCCGTCCCTTTCCAGTACACCCTAAGTTATGCAGGAATTTATGCGGTACAATGAATAGTTTTCCATTTAGATGTTATGCTCTTGGAAAAATGAAGCAGTGGCAAATCTTTAGAAGATTAATACTTTGGGTTGGGTATTTTTTTATTTTTATTTTTTAATTTATTTGAGGCCCAAGAAGACTTTTCAGAGTCTTCAGAGTCTTCCTTTCTTGAAATAGGAGTTCAGCATATTTGCTGAATATTTGTGATCCTCTATGAACCTAACGGATTGCGTGAGGTTTGAGAAGGCCAAGTGCAAGGTGTTGCACTTGGGACAGTCTGAGGTATGTATACAGACCGGGAGAGGAAGTCATTGAGGGCAGCCCTATGGAGAAGGTCGTAGGACCTTCTCCTAGTGGGTGAGGAGTTGGACGTGAGCCAGCAGTGTGCAGCCTGGAATGCCAACTGTATCCAGGGCTGCATCAGCAAGAGGGTGGCAGCGGGGAGCGGGAGGGGATTGTCCCTCTCTACTGCGCCCTCCTGAGGCGTCCTGCTGGAGTACTGCGTCCTGCTTTCCTGCCGGAACGATGTGGAGTGGGGCTAGAGGAGGGCCATGAATATAATCTCCTCCAAAGACCCACTGCACTCTGCAACTTCCTGAAGGGAGGTTGTGGTGAAGAGGGATTTGGCCTCTTCTCCCAGGCAATGAGCAGGACGTGGGGAAATGGCCACAAGTTGTACCAGAGGAGGTTTAGGTTGGACATCAGGAAGAACTACGTCTCTCAGAGAGTGGTCAGGCACTGGAATGGCTGCCCAGGGAGGTGGTGGAGTCACCGTCCCTGGCAGTGTTCAAGAGGCGTCTGGATGACGTGCTGCATGATGTGATTTAGTGCTAGAGGTGGGAATGGTGATGAGGAGACGGTTGGACTGGATGATCTTGTAGGTCATTTCAAACCTTGTGATTCTATGATTCTATGAAAGGCAGGTTGAGAGAGTTAGGCTTGTTTAACTGGAAGAGAGAAGGTTCTGGGAAGACCTCATTGCAGCTTTCCAGTGCTTACAGGGAGCTTATACACAGGAGGGAAATCAACTTTTTACATGGTAGAGATAGGACAATGGAGAATTTTTTTTTTAACTGGAAGAGGGGAAATTTAGAGCTTGGGGAACTTCTATACTTGAGGGAATGTTGAGTCACTGGTACACAGTGCCCACAGAGGCTGAGGATGCCCCATCTCTGGAGGTGCTCAAGGCCAGGTTGGATGGGGCCCTGGGCAACCCAAGCCGGTGTCTGATTTAGTGGTTGATAACCCTGCCTGTGGTAGGGGGCTTGGGGCTAGATTATTTTTGAGATTCCTTCCAACTCAAGTCATTCTGTGATTCATACTAGGATATTTTACTAAGAATTATTTGTATTGGCATATTTTACTTACAAAAAGTCTGAGATTTGCTTGGCTTGGAAAGGGGCCTGAATTCAGTCCTAAAGATCAGCTTAAGAATAAACAGTGAGTTGTAGGCTGTTGTTTATCGGGAAGCGATGCCCAAATAAACCAGTTACAGAAAAACAGCAGCGAAAGGACCAGATAAATAGTTTGTTCTGCCTTGAGGGGGGATGAGCTGCAGAGCATTCCTGACAGATTTGTCCAGCCTTTATTCTGAGATCTCAGTTACAAAGATTTCTTTTGCCATCTACCTCACTGTTTAATGTGTACTTTTAGATTATTGTAGATCAAGCCAGATTTTTTTTTTGCTACAGTTTTGTTATACATGTTTCTGTCAAGAAGCAGAAAAATTATTTCCTTTTTTTGTGACCAGTTCTTTTTGAAGATCTTTTTGAAGTGTTTTTGAGCAGTTATGTCCTTTGGATAGGTCACGTTTTTCTAACCCTTATGCTTTCTATAGTGATTTCCTTTGGGCTCTGCAAACAGTTTGTTA